TAAACATGAAGTTTTTAGACCCCAGGTGCAGAGATTTTAAGTGCATTCATTTTATTGCAATAGCCGTATTTGCACTGCATTATTCTGATCTCTTGTATTTATGTGTTAGATATTTAATGTCTTTTGCTAGTTTTGTTCGATTAACTGTTTTGTAATACAGCTGGAGCATGTGGGTTGAAGGGTGAATGAAGCAATAAAAAAATTAATATTTTGCCCCGCCTTTCTCTCTATTCTACCTCTTCTCTCTAGAAAGGATGCTCTAACCCTCTGTTCCACAATGCCCGCTACTATAAAAGCTTGTTTTGTCATTTGATGATGCAAACCAATCGCAATCTCGAAAAGATGGAACTTAGGAACAATTTTGCAGACATCTTTACAGAAAATAGTAAGTGATCTCTTCAGAATGATGGGGTAATTTAAGTCCCTTCTTAATCTTCTAAGGCAGTGTTTCTCAACCTTGGACACTTTAAGATGTGTGGACTTCAAGTCCCAGAATTCCCCAGCCAGCATGCAGGCTGGGGAATTCTGGGAGTTGAAGTCCACACCGCTTAAAGTTGCCAAGTTTGAAAAGGACTGGTTTGCACTAACCAAAAAAATTAATATTTTGCCCCGCCTTTCTCAAAATCTATTCTTTAGAACAATGTTTCTCAACCTTGGGAACTTTAAGACATGTGGACTTCAAGTCCCAGAATTCCCCAGCCAGCATGGCTGGCTGGGAAATTCTGGGACTTGAAGTCCACATGTCTTAAAGTTCCCAAGGTTGAGAAACATTGTTCTAAAGAATAGATTTTTTTAAAAAAATGCTGTGGTTTTCCTCAAGTTATGCGAACTAGATGATGCACCGACCTGCATGTTCTTTCCTCACAGTTATGTTCTGTGGGCTAGCTGGATTCTCGGATTTTTTCAAAACTTCCTGGCGTGACTTCATTCTCAGCAGGCAGAAACAGGATGAAGGATGTTTCTGGATGTACAGTAAGTAGATTGCATGACTTTAGGGACATCCGTGGCTGTGTGTGTGTCAAAAAAAGTCAAGATGTTGCCGTGGCTGCATAGACAAAGCCATGTTCCTTTTTTATTTCCATTGCATATGCCATCATGGCTTTTCTGACGTCCCTCTTCCCGAAGATACCCCTGCATAAACCTATTTAATTATTTTTTTTAACCACAATCTATAGACTATAATTTGTAAATAAACAGCAAATCACTCCTGGTGCTTCAGAAAATGATTGGACCACTGTTCCTATCATCCCACAGTCTGAGATGTGGAGTAAGACTGCTTTAAAAATATATATATATTTGATTTATACTCTCTTTTTCTATGCTGGCAAGTACTCAAGGTTCAGATTTTAAATGAATTTTAAAAGAAATACATTGACAGTTAAAAACATGCAGCAGAATAAACATTAACATTAATGCTGAAATCATTCAACAGTTGAAAGCTTGGCGAAAGAGATGTGCCTTTAGAGGGTTGTCTACAGGGAGGAGGTCAAAATAGTCAAGATGGCAGCTGTGACTGCATGAGCAAAAGTCCATCCTTTTTCATAGGCATCAGATGTGTTGCATGCATGTAAAAAAGGCTGGGGCTTTGATTGCACAGTCATTCCCACCATCTTGACTTTTTTTGATCCCCTACATGCCTCTGTGATTCATAGATTTTATAAATGTGGAGGGTGTGGTAGGAGCCCACCCAAGTTATCCCCTTGGTTAGTTAACAAATAATAAGATGGTTCAAAACGGATCAGAAAAAAAAAGAGGATTTCATAGGAGGTCTGAAACAAAATGTTTTGGAGGAGAAAACAGGCAGTAGGTTTTGCAAAGCTTATTCCTCCTTAGTGGACAATCTCTAAATCAGTGTTTTTCAAACTTGGCAACTTTAAGATGTGTGGACTTCAACTCCCAGAATCCTAAAGTTGCCAAGTTTGAAAAACACTGATCTAAGTACACCAATGTTTCTAGCACTGAAATATTTCTGCAAATCCAAGAAAACGTAGGGGCCAAAAAAATCACAGGGTATAAAAATAGAGGGGTGCAGTGTTATCTTATAATTAAATTTCCAAACGAACAATAATATTCTCTCTTTATAGCAAATGACTCATTTCTTCTGTCGATCTACCAGGTTCTTCCAACAGGAACGAAGATCGGGTCCAAGTGGCAAAAAGGTCTAAGAGATCAGAGAAAATCGTTGAAGGTAAAACTCTTGGTAGTTGAGGCACAAGAGCATTAGAAATGTATAAGAATTTCACAATAAATGTCCTGGGAAGCAGATTGAGTTTTCTGATCCCACTGACACTGTGCTGGAACTAACGATAGCAGGAATGATATCCAGTTAGTCATTTTCTTTTCCCAGAAAAAAAATAATCTCCCGTGGAACCAACAGATGGATTTGGCTAACAGTTCTCAGGCACATTAAGGCCCTGATGGTAGAACATGTTGAAAGTTTACCATCTGTGGTCTCAGAAGACAGAGGTTGTACATTCTCTTTGTGGAGAACTAGATTTGCAGGAAATTTGGACTTTAGTGCTTGCGTTTTTGTGTTGCTTATTTTACAGGACATTTATGCCACTGATATTACTCCATTTTTAACGAATGGACCAGGTAGAACTGGCCCATTTTATATTTCTTTTTTTGTCATAAATACATGCCAGTTGCCCGGCACCCAAATTTTGATCACATGACTGCAGGGATGCTGTGACAGTCATAAGTGCCAGGACCGGTCATAAGTCACTTTTTTCAGTGCCATCATAACTTTGAACAGTCGTTAAACAAATGGTCATAAGTTAAGGACTACTTGTTAAGGGTATGTCCAAGTTATTTTATTGGGAGCAATATAGAAGTGATTTGCCAATTACTTCTGTAATGGATTTCTCTGAGCCTGGGAATGAAAATGAATATGAACAAATTATTTCAGAACATTCCACATGTATCCACCCAAAAGGTAGCAACTGTCAGCCCGTCAAAGTAGTCCAGACCAGGAAACCAACATTATGAATGCTGATACTATTTTTATTATAAGGTTACAATAACAGAATCTTGCAAGTCTGAATGCACCTCCCCCTCCCTCTCTTTATGTTCCAGAGAAGTGGGGGGGGGGGTCAAG